GTTGAGAGCTGCATGATAGCTGCAGATATACAAAACGTGCTGAAAGAGAGTGGGATCAATAATACCAGCCTTAGCCCATCAGCCTTCAGGCCACATGGGAAAGGGCTAAAAATCACCTGAAAATGGGTCTTTATTTGGAACAGGACTCTTCATTTCATATAAGGAAGGGAGAAGGGTGCTTTTTCCAAAACTTGGGCCAGGCTTCCAGAGAATATCTTGAAAAGCTTGCAATTTATTTTATTTTTCAAAGTCTTTATTGAATTTGGCATAATTTAGCTTCTGTTTTATGTTTTGGTATTTTGGCTGTGAGGCATTGGACGGTATCTTCTCCACCAGGATCAAATTGGCATCCTGTGCATTGGAAGGTGAGGTCTTAATCACTGGACTGGCAATGAAGTCCTAGAGCTTGCAATTCAGATAGAGTGACTGGTGGTGCTGGGGGGCGGCGGTGGTGGTGGGGGGCGGGTAGAGTCCAGGGGCTTTACCTGATACGTAAATGTCTGAAGAAGTCTGAAGCCCAGAGATTGTGTCTAGTTGTCCTGAAGGCTTGTGAAGAGCTAACTGTACTGAGTATGAGTGTAAATTAAATGCTTAAGTCCATAGATAATTTATAAAGTTTGCTCTACACTTGAATACTCATATCTAGTTATTTAGTTAAAGCCTTTGGCTTTGATTAAAGTTGTTAACATTTGAAGTGTTGACTGATGTAGCCTCCCTGGTGTGGAAATATGAATATTTCTCTCATTTATTAATGTCCTATAGTGAAAGCATAACCTTTTACTTAAAATAATTGTTTTGGAAATGGAATTATAATATTCTCCTCCCCATTCCTCCCCTGCAGTTTGTGAATTTGGTGATTATTCTTCTTGGTTGGGAGTATAAGTAAGCATTTGCATTTATCCAACACACACACACACACACACACACACACACACATACACACACACAACCAAACACATTCATACCTATCCAGACAATGCAAAAAAACTTTAGGGAGTAAATTTAATTGCAGTTATGGTAATGAGAGTAGAGCAGAGAGGAGTGTGACTTTATAATTCTGATCATAAAATAAAAACATCAAGGCAAGTAATGAGTCTAAATTTAATGTTGAGAGGACTATATTTCTGTAGCATTTAAAGCAAATAAAGTCAAGCTATTAAAGACTGAACACAAAATTAGAATGTTAACTTTGCAAATTTCTTAGTCTATCTCCAAGTGATTAGATTATCACAAATTTCACCTAGGAAGGTAGAAATTGAATCAACAACACTGCAAAAGAAAAAACAAAAAAGAAATTTGGCAGCCCTAAGCAAGAGTGATGTAAATATAGTTTCAGCAGCTATTAGGCAAGAAGCAAATGATCTGCTAATCAATTTACTGCTACAGAAATAAGCCCAAATAATTTTCATGGGATGCATATGGGTATTGCTACCTTAATTTATTTGCTTCTACCCAAAGGTATTTAAAACACAACCAACTGCTGGAGTTGGATTTTTAAAGCTATTCTTACACTTATGAGCAGAGATTTAAGACTGCACTGAAGCCTGAATTTTATCTTGTTCTTTCAGTGGGCATTTTTTTCATTATCAATATTGTAGAAGATCTTAAGTCTGGACTAGAATTATTTCCTTGGTAAAAAGTGAGAGATAAAACTAATGGGAAGAAATTACTAATAAGTTCTACACTGATATTCACAAATGAATAAATTGGATCTTATTAATGTGCTTCATCTAATCAAAATCCCTTATGTAGGTGCACAGTGATAAAAAATAAACATTGTTTTTCATAACTGCAATATTTTTTTGTTGTTGTTTAGGAAATGGATGATTTTGTGGAGATTTTACAATTATCCATACATATTTCAGGCAGAAAATATGTAGCCTTTTTATTTAAAATTTCCACAAAGGCAGAGCTATTGAGATTTTTAAATAGCAGTGGAAACTGTTGTATAAACTTGGTAATAGTAAATGCAAGACCTGAGTAAACTTTTGAGCAAAAAACCCCCCCAAAATCATGTACTTACGCACTGCTAACTAATTTTTAATTCTAACAAGCCTTTGGAGAGGACTATAATTCAGGCTAGAGATTTGCCCAGCTACCATCTGCAGAGGGACCAGTTTGCCTGACAATCTCTCTCAACATTGTCATACAACATAAAATATCAACACAAAAGTGAAAGTAATATTAATGATGTTATTAATGGTCATGGCACACACAGAGGTAAAACAGAGCTATTGATGAAATATCAGCTTCTGAATACAAAGCATAGATTAGAGATTGTAAAAAACAATTATTGGCAAAGACGTCATTTTCTAGGTCTAGATGCACATGGGCCTGTAAAACTGGCAATACCTTATGTCTTAGTTTACGCTTAATTTCTATTGCTGACAATGCTGCTACTAAGATATGAGATTTCCACTGCTCTCCCCTATGCCTATACTTCAGGTAACTTTGTGACTAAAATTTTTATTAGGTTAGTTCCAATAACTTTTTTTTTTTTCAAAGGCGTTAATGTGCTCCACCAAGAAAAAGACCTTGGGGGATTTTTTTTAAAGATCAAAATTTCAAATATATATGTACTTTTCAAGTCACAACATTGTGTAGCTTTCATTTTCTCAAGAACATACTTTGAATAAATTAATAATACACTGAGAGAGTATTACTAGTTGTCTAATATCAAGTACAATATAATGTACTTGCGGGTTAATCACTCTGATTTAATGAGGCTGAAGCTGTTTGGAATCACAACAGTCAGCTTTCTCACTCCTTGTTCTCCCCCCTCTCAGCAGACCTCTGCATCAAAGACAGGCTGCATGTACTTTTCTCTCTTCGTTCTGCACAGAATGGCACTTACTGAAGCCCTGGGTTTCTTTAAAACTAGCCACTCATTACAAAGGTTCAGGATGCGACTTTCCCTAAAAAGCTTTGCTCTTAACCAAAGTGACTTTTGGGCTACAAAAGAATAAGTTATGGATACTTAATACAGAATTACTGGGTCCATATGTTATATATGAGATTATCTTATATTTGAATACCTTCCCTGACTAGTTGGAATAAATAAAAGTCTTGAGTTTGGGACCAGTAGAAAGCATTATAAGCCAGAAGGTACACATTATGCGTGTCTCATTTTAAAACCCAACAGCCCTAACCATCAAATGAACTACACTTGAAGCAGTTCTAAATTAGGGCATAAAAATTTTGTTCTCTGATTTCCAAGTCTAAAGGTACAGGTGTTTTTTCTCCATAATAAGTGTATTTATAGAGTTAAATGACTTGCAAAGCCTCCTCAGCAAGAGCGTGAACTTGTCCATACAATTGTCACAAACTTTACATTCAGTTCACTGTAAGGAAAATATACTGGGTTGGTGTTAGATGCAGATGTTGTACTCCAGGCCCAAGGAATCTGGCCTCAAGATTTAAAACAATGACCATGTTTTCCGATTCTGATACAATGCTTGTGACAGCGCTTCTCCCTAGATTGGAGTCAGGCTGTATTACAGCAAATGTACCTACGGGGATAATGCTTAAAGAGTCAGTATGGGTGGAAAAGGTTACTGTTCTGTCCCAATTCAAGATTGGTTAGCCCTGTGGGAGGTGGTTTAACACCCTGAGCCCTGGCATTAAACATGAGGCCTTGTGGCATCACTGCCCTGCAGTCACGGCAGGCATCCACAAGGTCTGGCCACAGTAGCCAAATGGGAATCCTCTGCTAGTACCCAGAGCCCTGGGGAGGGTGTGGGTCCAAGCCCACACCTTAACTGTTAGCCCCAGTACTTGACTGTTGAGAGACATATAGTCTTGCTTTAACGATCCTTGCTTCAATGAGAACATTTGATAATAGAGTTCTATTGGAATCTATTCTTTTCAGAGGGATTATTGCTAATGTTAGTTAGTTGAGTGACTCATGAGCTATCTATACTAAGTATTCATTCTTCAGTGGGAAGTGATATCATTCAGAAGATGTTACATAGATATATTTACCATTGGCAAGAAAGCGACTTAATTGAAAGCATGTTTGTTTGAACCACGGGAGAGCCCCCTTTACTAAATGGCTAACAGTAGCCATGAGCGTTGAGTTCTCAGTGGAGAACTGAAGTCTTCTTGATGCAGCCGAAAAGCAAAACCGTCTCAGTTGCTTCCACTGCCACTCAGACTAGCAACAAAATTAATCAGAAGCTTTTAGTCAGAAAGTGAGTTCCTTCTGAAACGATGAAAGCTTTTGTGAAAGGATAAGAACAGAAAGCTAAGGGTAGTTGATGGCGCATTAGAAGAAGGAGCCAAGAATTTGTCCATTTAAAGTGATTTTTAAGTTAAAGAACAGTTTTTATAGATGTTCCAGAAAAGATATTAAAGAGAGACTTTTAAAAGCAAAGAATAATTAGTTACTACTAATTAACCAGCATTTAAAATAATTAATGACATTCAGTGTAAGAGACCAGACTTTTGGAGAAAAAAATGCCATAAAGAGTAGAAGAGAGTGCTATTGAGCCAGCAGAAATTACTTGCTTTGTCTTTCATTTTGTGAATGCTTTTTTCAGTTATAAGAATATAAAACTTAAATCTAAGAAATTCTCTAAAAGAGTAAATGATTTCTCACTTTTGAAATGCTCATGATGCCAAATAAAATACGAAAGCATGATGATTATGCTATCTTTTCAACTCTTTCATGCCTTTATACCATTAGAAATAAAAATAGCAGTAAACACAAAATGAGAAAAGTATCAGTATCAAAATCAGTTAAACAGATTTAGTTGGTCTCTTTGGGCTCAAGTACATGGCAACATTTGTTGGCCAGTTTTTACAGAAAACGTATGCCACGTGTACGAATAAAACAAACAATTTAAAATTAGTCATAAGCCTTGGAAAATAAAATGTTGATATTACAGCAGCTTATATAATAACAAAAAAAGTAGCCTCTTCAAGTATATGGTTTATATATGCAGTGAAGGAATAGAAACAAGGAAACATAACAGAAAACTAAAAATGATGACTTTAATCTTAAAAAATGAATAAGAGCAAAGAATAGAAAGGGAGCTGATTTGTTATCATGTCCATATCCTAGAGTGACAAAATTTCTTAAAATGGAAATCCCAAAGCTGCTTGGGAGGTTTCCTGAAATAATGTAAAACACCCTGAAAGTCCTCTTAGTCCCCACTCCTAAACTTCAAAGGATAATGACTGTGGAGCTTGACTAGAATCAAGAGAGACATATATTCAAAACAGAAGGCATATCCATAAATCCTCGTTGGATGTCCAGCTATGAAGAAAGAAAAAATTACCCACCTATGGTAAGAATCATCAAGGGTTGATAAGGTGTCGTTAAGAGATCAACTTACGTTAATAAGTTCAACCTCCCAGATTTTTTTCAACAGGTCCATCGATGTGTAGCCATTAATTAGAAAGGCTTTGGTGTAGTCGCCTAGTTCAATGGAATCCAGCCACTCGGCCACAGAGGTGGGGTGGTAGCCATCATGGCCGATGGGTCTCATCTGTAATCAGAAAAGCACGTCAGGATTAATTTAAGCTGTTTACTTTGTGTTTCCACAACAGAATGCATCTTGGAAATTTATCCGATTTGAAGCAACAAATCTTTCCGGATAAGAAAATAAGAAAACCCAAAATACTTGAGGCACAATTCTAAATCATTAATAATTTCACGCTGAATTAGTTTTCAAAAATGCACCCAGAAATTTCCAATTTAGCTGCTAAACCAGTTCCACATTTGAGAGATCTAAATATGTCAAACTTCTGTTGTAGACGTTATTGGCATTCTGTTGGACGGAATTTAAAATGATGTCAGTCGAGCAGTTTTAAATTCAGTGCTGGAGGCACAGGGAACTGCACTCCCAAAATGTAGATGATAATTCTCATATGCACAACATCAAAGTATGTGAAAATACTGCATGACTCAATTCATGCTTATGCAAGACATGTATTGTAGGTAGTGCAAACATGCTGGAGAAACACACTGCTGTGGTAAGCCAGTCAAGAAGAGGCTTTTGAGTGTTTAAAGACCATGTGTTCTGCAGACTCTACAGTATGTTAGATGTGAATAGAGAACTCGCTGGCAGACAGATTCCTATTTTTTTGTCAGCTATATACAGATTTTTTTTTTTTTACTTTTTTAGGAGAACAAAGAAGTGTGACAGCAACATGATGTTTCTGAGTTTAAATTGGAGTGTGAAAGTAATTTTAAGCACGAGAAACTTCTGGCTTTAAAATTTTGTATGGATTATTCTAGTCTTTTGGCTTTTATTTGAAATTTTAGTTGAGTTTGCAGTTCTTGGTTTTTTTAAGTAACTCACTTCTGACTTGTTCTGCTTTGCATGCCACACCTTACATCGAATACTTCAGTTATTAAGGATAGCCAGCACCCCATCAACTTGATGTGGTCCTTCAGTGAAATTCAGGATGGGAATGGCAGAACTGGGCAAAATGCAACATAGATTTTCCTCTTTCTTTAGATTCAAGGAGATAAATGTTAATGGAGATCTATAGGATTCTGATTTGCAAGCAGAGAAAAGATTAGTCTGAGCATCAGGGATTCAGATTTTAATCTCAAACATGTTAGACTTTCTGTCATTATGCAGTGTCCTCATTTTTGAGATTTTTCTCATTCCTTTTCTTTTGGAGAGGGGTGCAAAGTGTTTATTAGGGATCAAACATCTGTGAAAGAAGGGATGAAGAAGTAGGACTGGGCAGAAGAGGGGCCAAAGTATGATGGAGCTTGATGAAGCCTCTGTGAACCCACTGGAGCTCTGGCACAGTTTAGGCTATTAGAGTGTCCTGGGCATGGCAGATAGGAACGGGCCTTTGGGTCCCACCACTCTGTTAGTGGATGTTGCTGTCCCAGGAGGAGACGCTTTGGGGTGGGCTGTCTGCCATGCAGGCAGACCCTGGATATGCTGACTGCTGGAGGCTGTCTGCTGACCACCCTCCCCGAAGTCTGGCAGGTCCTTACTTGAAGGGAGATACAGATAGTACATGGCCATGTCTTCCAGAATAGCCAGGACCTCGATTCACCAAAGGCTAACTTGTTACTACATTTGGTTTTTGCCTTTCACTCTATACCTACTCACTCATTCACAAGCACACAACATCTATCTTTTAAATTTTAGATGAATTATTGGGAAGACATATCTCCTGAACCATTTGCAGACATCATGAAACTTTATCCCTGACACTTTATTGCAATGTCTCAAGAACAAGGACTACGTCCCAAGACTACGTTCTCCAACGTAGTCACAGTATTATCACCCCCAAGAAATCTAACATTGACAAAATGATGTTACCTAACATATAGTTAGTATTAGCATTCCCCAAAAGTACCCAAATTGTCCTGTGTAGCTGTTTTTGTTTTTTCGTAGACATGATCAAAGGTCAAGGCAATTATATTTTCAAGTACTTCTACCTTTCTTTCTTTCTCTTTTCTTCTTCTGGGATTATATTTACTCCTGTTAAGTTCCGTTTTCTCCTCTTCTCTTTCCTATTGTTCCACTTCCCAGTCTGTTTTCCATTTCAAGGTTTAAATGTCCTCTGTCTTGACATTACCATGTAATTCATTATTTGCATTGGCATCTAAACTGCATCAGATTTTTGTATTTCACTTTTACATTGCTTGAGTCATTTTAGCTACTCATTAGATGTTTGTTCACATAACACTTAATTTGGTGTTTATTATACAGTAGTTACAAATATAAATGACAACTCAGGATTTGCAAAATGAAATTTACCAGCAGTTGCAAATAACTGGATGTTATCTATGAGTAAAATTGGCGACTAGGACCCAAAAGCAGAGGCTCCAAGGTATTAAATACTTCCACATTCTTCAGAGAATTAAAAAATTACTGGGGGTAGAGGCATTTTCCAGGACTTCTTAGGAGGTGGCTGAACCAGCTCTGCTATCCTGAATAATCACCCCAGCCTCAGGAAACTCCCTGGCTGTCCCAGTTAATACAAGGAAATAACTAGAAAAAAGGGAAGAAGCAATGGAGAGAGAATCATTAGGTTTGAAATTAGTAGCTTGCCAGGGAGGTCTTTCTGCTAGCCATCTGCGAAGCTGACCACCCCAGCCATGATACTGGGTACAAACTTAGAGCGTCTAGATGCATCAAGCTGGGGCAGAGGCACATGTCTCACACCAAGGAGCTGTGCAGTAGGGTCCTCAGAGGTCACCCGGGTATCCACACACCATTCCTTTGAGAGAACACCCCGTGGCCACCTGCCACACAGAGGTTGTTAATGGTCAGCAGTAGTCAAAGAGCAACGATGGGAAACCCACCAGAGCTCTGCAAAGCAAACCCAATTGACTATAAAGAAGCATGCCTTCCCCAGGTCTCTCCTTTAGCATTAGGGAATTTAGAGTCAGAAAAGAGAGAGGTACCAGTCCCTTGGGGGAAGACTAAATTGGGGTGGGGGTTGGGGAAGAAAATGAAACTGGAGGCTTAAATGGATAGGAACTTAATTTTTAATATTTTATATAACTGTAAAGCTATTGGATGTACGTGATGTGAGATGGATGTGTGTGGATGGATGTGGATGGATGTATGGATGTGAGAGTTGGGCTATAAAGAAAACTGAGCGCCGAAGAATTGATGTTTTGGAACTGTGGTGCTGGAGAAGACACTTGAAAGTCCCTTGGACTGCAAGGAGATCCAACCAGTCCATCCTAAAGGAAATCAGTCCTGAATATTCATTGGAAGGACTGATGTTGAAGCTGAAACTCCAATGCTTTGGCCAGCTGATGCAAAGAACTGACTCATCTGAAAAGACCCTGATGCTGGGAAAGACTGAAGGCAGGAAGAGAAGGGGACGACAGAGGATGACATAGTTGGATGGCATCACCAACTCAATGGACATGAGTTTGAGTAAACTCTGGGAGTTGGTGATGGACAGGGAGGCCTGGCGTGCTGCGGTCCATGGGGTTGCAGAGTCTGACATGACTGAATGACTGAACTGAACTAAACTGAAAGCTATTGGAGACATCTGAGATAACATTAAAAATAGTAAAGAGAGAACCAACTGAGCTTGACTGAAGGCAGGATTGGAAAAAAAAAGTCCCATCAGTTTCTGCAAACTGCTCAGAAATCTGGTTACTCCTATGAGACAAGTTCTCCCGACCAACCTTAAGGAGGCGAGGGGGAGGGAAACAGCTGGTGGAAAGATGAGAGTTGGGGCAGGAGGTGGGGCAGGGCCACAGAGCAAGTGTGACGAGGGCCTGGGAATAAGTACACTGATGTGCACAGGAGCAGTCTTCGTTCAGTCGCTCAGTCGTTGGACATTAGCCCATGCCTCTTCTGATGAATGTTGTAGAAGAGCAGGAAACAAAACAAGTTACAGTCTCTCCCTCATAGAAATTATAGCCCTATTTAAAAAACATGCGAGCAGATGACCAATAAATTATGAAGGCTCTGCATACCTGAAGAAAGGAAGCTATTAGTGCTGAAAGAAGTTACAAAATTAACTTGACACATATTTAATGACATGCAGAATGGTTACTGTGCTGCACAATAATTTCCTTCAAAGCAGTTCTTCCATCTGTTCCTTCACTTCTGTTCTTCCTGCCACTACTCTGTTTAGGTTCTTGTTGGTGCTTATAAAAACTAATGCAATAGTCTTCCACTTGGCCTCCCACCTTTTTGATCCAGCTTATAGTATGATGTTATATCAGTCTCCAGGCTCTTAAGTCAACCCTTGCACAAAATCCTATAGAAGCTCCTTCTTGATAAAAGCCCAAATGTCCTTTTCCAGCATTCTAGGACAACTGAGACCAAGTACAAAGTTATCTTTTCAACCTCATCTCACACTACTCTGCTGTACGTAAACTAACACATATAATGAAACACATCAGTTTGTCGAAACAGTATGCTAAATTGCTAGCCATTCCGTGAACATGAACTGTGTGTGCAAGACACATTCATGTCTTTGCAAACATCATTTTCCATGCTTGGAATGATTTCTGCCTTTATTTCTACAGTGTTTCTCTAGGACTGGCTTTCTGAGCTCTAAGATACAAATTTCCAACTGTTTGTAAAATGTCTCATAGAGATGTCCTATAGTATCACCAACACAAGCAAAATGTGTTTCCTTTGGCTCACAAGTGCCCTCCCTCTGTATTCCCCAACTAAGTTAATGGGAGCATCACACCATATGCAGCCCCATGGGCACAGGGTCCCATGTGCGGCAGTCCGCAGGGTCGCAGAGTCGGACACGGTGGGTGATGGAACAATAGCACACCATCACCCAAAGAGAGGCTCAGGAGTCGTCTAACTTTCTCTTTTCTATTTTACTTCATATCTAAGGAGGCCAACAAGTCTTCTGCATTTGATTTACAAAATGCCTTTCAATTCAATGCTCTTCTTCCAAAGCGAACTTTGGAATGTGCAGCAGTATCTGCTGCAGCATTGCAAGGATCATAGGACACAAGGTCCGCACACTGCCTAGCGCAGTTTTGAATATATGTCTTCAATAACTTAGCTTCCTTCCCTCC